GAAACTCCTCTGAATATATTTTATTAAAAATTCCAATTATTAGTATCTTCGTTTAAAGTCATAAAAGAAAAAGAGAGAACAGCCCTAGACCAACAATCCTAAATATATAGCTATAGATATAGTAAGCTCATAAAGACTTCTCTATAAAAAGTTTTCCTGAATCTTCCAGGTTGCCAAGAAATTAACTATATCTCTTATTTCTATCCAGTTTAACAAAATAAGTATTGAAACAATTTTGTGTTCAAAAGAAACCTACAATGGAAGTTCATGATAAGATACGAAAAGTCCAGAAACCAGACAAAAAATTGTAACATAAATAGGTGGATTTGTAGTAGGGATGTGAAGGGTTAACCTTAAAACTCAGTGGCAATTGTTTCAATAGCATATGTATTTGCAGTCACAAAATTAGTGTTTATGTGCACAAAATTGATATGTGCACTAGGGATGTGAACAGGTAAACGGTTAACTGGTTACCCACTAAGCACCACTTTTTCCAGAGATACCTACTGGCTACCAATTAACTGGGACCTCGGGGTAGCCCCCCACTCACAGCCCACCATGGGCAGAAGGCTGCTTCAGCCCTATGGGGGTTGGGAGCAGGCCTCCCCCATGTGTGGGGGTGCCTGGAGCAGAAGCCACCCCTTCCCCGTGGGCAGGCTCCTGAGGGCGGGGAGCAGGCTCCTTCTTAATCAGTTAATGGGTTAAACCTAAGGTAACTGATTAAACAGGATTTTACATCCCTAATGTGCAGTCCCCAAAATTGGACCAAGTAACAGAGCATGCTTCCACCTCCTGCCCTGACATGTAGAGGGCAAGAAACAAGGTTGAATCAGCATCTCCATCTGCTCCCACTCAGACCATATCATGGAATCAAAAGCAATCTGAATCAGGTGTTAGGGAGAAGACAAGGAGATCTGGCTCCTGCTCTTTCCAGACCCAGGTATGGTTTTGAGGAGCAATAGGAACCCATGGAGCTCTATCCCTGCCTGCCCAGACACCTTACAAAGATCAAACACAGCTACATAGGATGAAAGCCAAGGTGCCAAATTTCTAACTCCTCTGGAGGTGTTTAATCCTTGGCTCCACCCCATACCCTACCCTCACTTCACCTCTTCTCTCAAGGCTCCACCCCCTACTCCCCCTCTACCAGTTTCACTCCTTCTTCCCCCTCCAAGCACCTCCTGGATGCCACTGAATAGCTGATCACTGGCAGGCATGATGTGCTTGAAGGATGGGAGAAGAACTGATTGGCAAGGCCACCAGTGGGTGTTGAGCACCCGCTGTTTTTTCCAGTCTTGGAGGACTCATATAATTAGCACCTATGGATGAAAGTTCCTTAATCACATAATTTCCTCTGCAAGCAACATACTAGTTAGTAGGTCTTATTTCAGTACTGCTGTGAAAGGTTAACCGGTTATCCGGTTAACCAGTAAGCACCACCCTAAATGGGTAATGCTTACCAGTTCCAGTAAACCGGTGGTTCTTCACATCTCTAATGGACATAATGTTTAAAAGGATACCCTAAAAATTTGGACTTAAAAAGTAAACTTAAAAACTCAAGTTAATGGTATCCTTTAATCAAAAGGCTAGAAAATGCCTTATGATACCTAAACAAAACTTTTATTACTGACACACAGTAATAATTCCTAATAATATTTAAAGGGGAATTCTTGGGTTAAAATATTTTTTTAAAGCATTACTGTTAAAAAGACTTAAATTTTAGGTTGTATTTTTAGTATCACTGATACTGTTTATTCAGCTATTTTCTAATGACTAATCTAGGCTCATTGTCCAATGTCAGCAAGTTTCACTTTGTTCTAGTGCAGGGCTGGGTAAGATGTGGCCTGGGGGCTGGATTCAGCCCACCTAACACTTTGATCCAGCCAGCAGACTGCATCTGTCCACTTTCTATTTATGTCCTTCTGTCCATGCCACCGAATTTCCAAGCCATGGCAGCAAGATCCTATTTAAATGGCTCACAGCTCATGGCTGAGGTACTACCCCAGCAGGGGCTGCAGCCGCGAGCCCTTTAAATAGCAGCAGTAACTCTGGGCAGCTACCAGGCAGTGTGGTAGTGACAGGGCCAGAAGCTGTGAGCCCTTTGCTGTGTTTTTAACTCAAAACCTCCAGCCCAAGACAACTCGAGGGGGGGGGGAGGGGGGCTAGGCTCTTGTCCCGCCTCTTCTACCCCCAGCCCCGCCCCATGACCACATACCAAAAATTAATTTAGTGGCTCCCCTGCAAAAATGATTGCCCAGTCCTGTTCTAGTGCATGAGAAACAATGATCCCATATTTGGATGAAAGATACTGAGGCTATGTCTAGACTACAAGCCTCTTTTGAAAGAGGGTTTTTCGAAAGAATCTTTCGAAAAAGCCTCTTTTGAAAGAGAGCATCCAGACTACAAGCAGATTTTTCGAAAAAGCGGCTCACTCTTTCGAAAGAGAGTCTAGATGCTCTCTTTTGAAAAAGCAGTTTGCATTCAATAGCACCTTTTTTCAAAAGTACTTTCAAAAAAAGGCGTTATCGTAAAATGAGGTTTACCATGATTGAAAAAACTGTCGTGTTTTTTCAATTTACTTTCAAAAGAACACAGCTGCAGTCTAGACGCAGGTGAAGTTTTTTCGAAAAAAGGCTACTTTTTCCGAAAAAACCCTGTAGTCTAGACACATCCTGAAGGAGAATGTTCAAATATAGACAAAACTTCTTTCTTTGAGTACCCTGCTACCTCTACACACTTCATAAAAATAGATTTTAACAGTAGCCTTTCTGATGCCTTTTTCAATAAACTTCTTTACATTGTCTGCATAAATATATTTCACACACCTTAAGGATACCTTACAATATGTCTCAGTTTTTGGAGATGGAGGAAACCTTAGGGTGTTGATCTATTATCACCTCAGGGAAACTCCTGCATTTATATTTTACCTTAAATACTGGCTCCATGTTTATCATTTAGCATAACACAAACACCAAGTTTAAACATCTCAGCTGACCCATTGTATATTTTTATTATAGCAATGTTCCATGCAACATTAGATTGATTGTTTTTAAAGCAACACATATGACAAAAAGGATAAAGATGTCCACATGGTGGCGCAGAAGCCACGGAAAGTAATACTAACGATGACTACGCCTAGGGAGAAAGTGTAGCGAACCAAATTACCCAAGGTAATTTATTTTTCACCACTGATAGATTAAAAAATGGGAAAAAACTAAGTGCAAAACTGATTGGTCAGGATTTGTTTGCTTGGTTTTTGAGTTTCACTAATAATATTGTTTTGCTTTCTAGCACTGTTTTTATTGGCTTTCATTAAATTGACAAACTACAATTAGTATTACTTTAAAAGCAACTATCATGTCAAGGATCTAAAGTTGTAAACTATATTAACTTAATTTTCATACAAATTTACAATACACAACAATGGATATGTGCTTGAAAACTTCATACAAGCAGCCAGTAATTACGTTTTCATTCAAGTAACATTGACTCATTACACAGAAAACTCTAAATGAAGGACAATCTGTCCTTAACTTTCCATAATGTGGATATGTTTTACTATGTCAGAACCTTATACTCTTCTATTATAGCTAGACAACAGATTAAGCAAATTAACAATAACCCCTAAGTTTTGCAGAAAGTTTATCCACAAACAAATCAACTATATTACAGTTAATTTGCATGCTATATTGGGAGGCATCTATGAAAGCTGGGGTGCATACCTCTTAACATTAGGCTATCGAAGTACTGTTTCTACTGAACAGCACAAGTTTTAAACAAACTAACATACATTCACTGTTTAATTTACTACTATGGTAGATTATCAAATTAAACTGAAAGGATGTATTTTCCTCACTTCTACTGATAGATGTTTTGCTGGGCCATTCTCTACAGAAGAAAGATGACATTTCATATAATGGAATTATTTTTCCCTGGATGCTTTCAACATTTTATTCCATATACTTTGGAAATCAGTGTTGTATAAAAAAAGAGAGTATTGCAACTAGCTCTTTCTTTGTCTATAGCCAATTTTCAAGTACATTTTTGTAAGACTATTTTTCCTCTAATTGTCAATAAATCCTGACACACAGAAAACAGTTTATTAAATTTGTTGACACCCATATTGATGATATACTATGCTCCAATAGGAATGCAAGCCACTGTAGATAAAGAGACCTCAGCAATGGGCTCAACATAGGAACATAAACAGAAGAAATACAAAAAGAGGAGGAGCCTGGACAATTGGGATAAATTCCTCCCAAACTTTAAGTCTTAAATTGTAATAGATCCAAGGTAGATGACAGGTAGACAGCAGGCCAAATCCAAGCCACCAAAAACACTTTTGAACTTTTTTGGGGGAAAAAAACCCCTGTTTTACTTATTGTTATTGCTGTATGTGAAGCGTTTCCCTGTGTCTGGCCCTAACTTTGTACCTCAACCAAACAATATGAACCTTGGCAAAACAACGTACAATCTCTCCTCCAGCTTCTACACTTGTGCATCATCTCTCACTGCCTTATCACCAGTGTTCCCTGCGGCCGCCTCGGAGAAATTCAAATGCTGTCCAACTGATTAGCATAGTGCCCACAGCCAGCAGCATGTGTTTCTGCTGGTGACGCCCATCCACACATGTCAAGGTGCACATAACATTTCTTCTGCACAGGGACAGAAAGAAGTAGAGGGGACACTGCCCATCACCCGCATAGCTACAGAAGAAAGGAGGGTCGGTTTGGTTTGCAAAACGGGGCCAACATTTCTAATGGAGAGATTCACACGCCCCTTCCCTGGCGTGTGCCGGGATCTATATCCGCCCCATTGGGAAGGGAGGCCTTGCTCTTTCCTTGGGGGTGGGGAAGGGCTTATTCAGCCCCCCTCCCTTCACAATCTGAACATGGGCGGGGCACCTACTTCTCCCGGGGGGGGGAGAAAGGGGGGAGGATTTCACCATCGTGTCCCCTCAGGGCGGGCAGCGCCTGCACACTCAGCCGCCTGGCACTTACTCCAATCCCGGGCCTCGGCAACCGCCGCTCTTCACCTCGGGACTGACAAGGTTACATCACCCCTCGGGGACGGGGCAAAGCCGGCCTGACCCGGAAATAGATAGAACGGGGAGGGGAGGGGCAACCTGCCGCCGGATGCAGCTCTCGCACGGCGCCTGTCCCCGCTGGAGCCGAAACGGTGCTTGTGATTGGGCGGGCCCCTCGCGCGTCGGACGCTGGTTGTGATTGGGCGTTTTGAAGGGGCTGAGCGTGGCTGGCGGCGAAGCGGGCGGTTTGGGGAGCGGAGCCCGCGCGCTGCTGTGCGATCATGGCCGCGAGCGGGCGGCGCCTGCGGGGCGACCCGGAGAGGTGAGCGGGGCACCCCTGAGGGAATGTTGCTGCCCCGCCGGGCGCTGCCTCACGCCCGTGTCCCGCGGGAGGGCTCCCGGCAGCCCCGGGCTTGACAGGGCGCCAGTGGCGCCCTACAGCTCTGCCTGGGGAGTCGCGCTCCGCCTGCGCGCTGTTTGGGAAGGGGGAGGGGCGTCACCGGCGCGTAACGGTTCTGGTTAGCCGTTAACTGGTGGGGGCTGGAGTGACTCTCCCGCTGTCACGGACAGGGGCAGCCAGGGGCTCTCCAGTCCGGCCGGCCTTGCATCGGTGAATCAGTGAAACGTCACGTTTAACGGGACTTTACATCCCTACCCCAAACCTTGGCCCGCCAAGCCAGGCGCAGCCCCCTGCCTGGGCTGACCCACACCGCGGCCCCACATGACTGCTCCCCTCTAACCAGCCCCGGAGAACGGCTGCTAGGCTTGGAGGAGGACCCTGCACCGGCCAGTGCAGCAGAGCCCGGTTCCATGCCGCACAGGGCTCAGGTGGTGGTGTGGGGCTGTCTCTATAAGTGAGGCAGCTGCTTGGCAGAATCTGCTGCAAGAACTCAGATGTGTCTGAACCAGGGATGGGAACAAAAAAAACACAAACACATTAACCGTGTAATCAGTCAAAACTTTGTCGGTTACACGGTTCACCAGAGATGTAGGGAGGGAAGGATGCTGCAGAGGTCCCCTCCAACGCCGAGCTCTTGGGTGCTGCTGGCCCTGCCATCAGCAAGCTCTCAGTAGCTAGCTCTCACTGTTGGCAAACTCCTGGCAGCTGAGTTTAACTGTTAACAGAAACTGCTAAGCTGATTAAATGGTTAAACTTTTACATCCCTAAATGAACACTGTGGAGAATCCATCACTGGTGGGAGATGGCCAGTTTTAGAGCAGCGTGGGTGATGACTCCATTGGCTAGAACAGGGACAATTTCTGTGTCTGGTAGACTTAAGATGTGACTGATGTGATACTTCCTCAAAGGAGCAGAAATGTCCTAAGTGTTAGAAATAAGCTGGTGTTTATGAGGAAGGTAAGGACAGCCACATTGAGTCAGACAATATAGCATTGCTCTGTCTCGAACAGTGGCCAACACCAGAGCTTCAGAGGGAGTTCACAGTACAGACCATTTGGAATGACGTGCCATCTTCCCTTGTCATTGGCTCATAATGCTGTAATACTGCTTTTTAAAGTGGCTTCACAATGGATGAGACAGTTGCTGAGTATATCAGAAGGACTGTGCTGAAAATCCCTCGCCGTGAAATCATGGAAATGCTAACAATATGGGACTTCCTCTCCAAGACACAGCTACAAACCATAAATGTGCATCATACGAAGGAAAGAATTTCCCAAGAAGTGGTTACACTTTGTGAGGTGATAACATCCATTGTAAATGATCTGACTGTCTGTCTGAAATATTTTCATTATATGGATTTAGCCTCTATGGTCTGGACTTCCATAGTCTGGCAACATCTGTGGTCCAGCATCCCCATGGGTGTTCTGGGGCTGGAGCACTCATGCGGAAAAGCTGAGCCCTGTGCTCAGCAACTCCTCTGCCCTTCCAGAGCTCTGCAACTAGCTCATTTACAGTGCTCAAGCTCAGAGAGAGAGGAAGGAGCAGAGAGAGGGATGCTTGGGAGAAGAGGCAAGATGACTGTGGAGACCTATGGCTAGGAGTCAGGAGCACAGCTTTGCAGCTAGTGGGATGGGCCAGGACTGCAGCTTGGCTGCAGTGGCACATGGTCCTGGGGCTCCTCAGCCACCCTGCCTCTTCCCCAAGCGCTCCCTGTCCCTCAACTTGCAGTCCCCGCTTGGTCAATGCCGGCCCCTCTGATTCCACCAAAGCAGAGCCCCACAACCAGTAGCACCCGAGGGGCCAGCATTGACCTTCCCAGTCCAGCAGGTTCCCTGGTTTGGAATGGGTCAGGTTCTAAGGGTGCCAGGAAGGTACAACCTGTACTTGCATAGTAGAATGACACACTGGAAGCATGTATTGGTATTTTTCTACTATTTGAAACATTTGTTTATGGATAGCAGGCTTCAAACTAATAAAAGAAAGTTCTTCCTCACACAGCGCAGAGTAAACCTGTGGAACTCCTTACCATAGGAGGCTGTAAAGGCTAGGACTATAACAGAGTTTAAAAAGAGGGGAGGAGGTTAAGAGTTCACGTGCTCCTCCGTTCCCAGGCCAATCAGGGTCTGTGGGTGGCAAAATCTCTTGGCCCCACACTTTCTATTTGAGTGCCTGTCCCTTCTGGGGCTGTCCATGAGCACTTCAGAAATTGGCAAAGTGGACCCCTTTCAAAAATTATTTCCTGGTCCTGGTTTTAGAGCCTGCTATTGTTAAATCTTTGAGTAATTGCTGTTCTCTATTGGCACAGGGTAGATTCTAGCCTTTCAGTAAGGATGGAGCTGTTCTGTAGTTAATTTCAATTTGTGATTCTGAACGTTAAACATAAACAATTCTATTTGGACATTAAATGAAGTAACTTCCTCTGCCAGATTTGTTTTCACTTCCTGTAAAGTAAAATCTCTTCTGGCTTTGCACTAATGGGTTTTAATGGAGCTTTGGCATATGTAGTAATAAGCTGTTAGGGATATAACGCTGCTTGTGATAATGTTCCTTACTTGAGGCCAGGTAGACAATTTTATTTGCATGGACAGACTGCTGGGTTGTCCTATGGAGTCTCAATTATCTTAATTTACCTTAAACTCTACTGTTGATTGCATAGTTCCAAAGGTATTGGAATCTCATGGTTCCACAGATATTTTATCTGTAGTAAAACCTTTGTTATCCAGCACTCTGTTAACCAGAAAACTTTAACTGGTATTGCCCCCAGCCACGATACTGTCACATCTTCAGGTGCACAGACATGGCTTGATTTACCATGATTGGCTTAACAGTTTTTTATTTAAGAAGTACTAATCATCTTTAACTCAAAATAGAAATGTGAGACCAACTGCCTCACACTACAAAACTACGAATATTAAAAACTTGAGTTTTACTATTACTGTCCATTGGTTTTTCCTAGGTTCGTGGGACCTCAGACAACCGGAATTTTTAGATAATCGGAATGCCCTAATCACGGAGCATGCTGGATAACACAGGTTTTACTGTATTGATATACAAGCTTCAGGTGCAAACCAAAAAGACTTGGAGAGTGCCATAAATAGCATTCATATACTACTTTTTTGGAATAATAAATGCCAGGCTTAAAATAGCAAGGGTGTGTTGTAAACATTTCTTTACCTATGTTCTTTGGGTATCTGAGATTCTTCAGATGGCATGAATTTTTAAAAACTAAATAAAATTGATGGAAAGTAAATCATAGTTCACCTTTTACTTGGTTTGGGCAATGAAATACCAGTTACTTTCTCTTCAGTTTATAATAGTCTAATTAATTTCTCTTACTAATTGTTTAAATTGCCATCTCTGCAGAGGGGAGTTCATAAATCCACTCAACTAGTTTTCTTTTAAAAAAATTAAAAAAACATTTGAAGTAGTGAGTTTGGCAAAACTTTCTCTTGACTGCTCTTTGGGACAGTGATTTTGTCTTTCTGTGTTTAGAAAGTGCCTAGCATCTTGTGGCCATTAATGCAATCTAAGTAATTTTGACAATACCTTAATTCTGAGGCTAAAATTGCAGTTTTAATGAAATGTTATGAAGAATTCCAGCTCTGCATTTCACTTTGCACTTGTAAATATTTTCTTGCAGGAAAACTGTGCTGGTATCAAGCAAGCAGCCATCCTAGACATGATTTGTAAGTTTAAAAATACCCTTTCTTTATATTTTGTCTGACATGATCAAATAACTTTTAATTAATAGAATTGCTTTTATGAGATATATTGGTATGTTAAGAACAAGAATGGCCATACTGGGTCACACCAAAGGTCCATCTAACCCAGTATCCTGTCTTCTGACAGTAGCCAATGTCAGGTGTCCCAGAGGGCATGAACGGAATAGGTAATCAAATGATTCGTCCCATTCCCAGTTTCTGCATAAGTCAGAATTTTAGAGGATACACAGACAGCCGTGGTCAGGGATATAACCTCTGATAGCACTGATGGACCTTTTCTCCATTAACTTATCTAATTATTTTTTTAACTCAGTTTTATTTTTGGCCTTTAGAACATCCCCAATCAATGAGTTCCATAAGTTGACTGCATTATATGAAATACTTTCTTATGTGTTTTTAAAACTGTTGCCTATTGATTTCATTGGGTGAAACCTGGTTCTTGGGATATGTGTAGTGATAAATGACTTGTTTGTATTTACTTCCTCACACCATACATTATTTTATGGACCTCTATCATAGCCTTAGTCATCTCTTTTTCTGAGCTGAACAATTACCGTCTGTGTTTCATCTTTTCTGGCATTGGAGTTTTTCCATGCCCTTAATCGTTTTTGTTACCCTATTATATATCTTTTCCAGTTGTAATATCTTCTTTGAGACCGGGATGACCAGAACTGCATGCAGTATTCAAAGTGTGGATGTGTAATGGATTCTATGGTGGCATTATGGGATTTTTTGCCTTATCCCTTTCTCAATACAGTAAAACTCCAGTGGTCCAGCATCCAATGGTCCGCATTCCTGATGGTCCGGCACCATCGGGAACCCAGAAGTGCTCCGGGCAGGTGGACAATTGGAGCTGCTCTACCCCCGGCTTTCCCGATTCAGCCACTGCTGAAACTGACCAGCGGCTGACTCCGGGAAGCCCAGACCCCTCAGAGCCCCCCCCTTCCGATGGTCCGGCATATTTGATAATCCGGCACCCCCTGGGTCCTAAAGGTGCCAGATTATCAGAAGTTTACTGTAGTTCCTAATGTTGTTAGGTGTCCCCAGGCTGCACGCAGATTTTAACGTGGCAGCGCCGTGTGGAGCCTGGGATCAGCTGGGGACTCCCCCACTGACCCCGGGCTCTGTGCAGCACTGCCGCTTTGAAATTTCGCGAGGAGCAGCTGATCCAGGGCTCCATGCAGCACTGCTGCTTTGAAACATTGTGAGGAGCCTGATGCTGGGCTCCCCATGGCGTTTCAAAGCGGCAGCACTGCACAGAGCTGTTGCTACACTTGAAAAGCAGAGGCACCCTATCGACGAATGCATCGACTATTTGATTAGTCAATTATTATATATTTAACATCCCTAGAGTTGTTAGTTTTTCTTCTGTTTTCCTCAGTAGCATTTGACTTCTAATTTATAATTTGCATTTTACCTCAAATTGCCTAATGTACTCAGGTGACTGGTGGTGGTGGTGTGTAGTATGGAAGGATTTGGGGAGTGTGTGTGGTGAGATCTTCTGTTTTGAAGGATTTGGGGAGTGTGTGTGGTGAGATCTTCTGTTTTTGGAGGGAGTTGAAGGGGTGTGCATTTACTTTGAGCCTCAGTTATGGTATTTTTAAATAGTTTTCATGCAGCCTGCAGACCTTTCATTTTGTGACTATTCCTTTTAATTTTCACTTAAGTAGCTTTCTCATTTTTGTGTAGCTCTGCTTTCTAAAGTTAAATGCTGTTGTAGTGAACTTTTTTGGTATTCCATGACACCCTACTCTGCTCCAAAGATATTAAAAATAATTATAATATGGTTGCTATTACTGAGTGGTTCTCTTGAACAAGGTCCTGTTTTCCACTTATCAATTACGTAAATAATTGCTCCTCCCCTTGTGGTTGCAGAACTACTGCAAGAGGCAGTCGTTGACCTATTTTGCCTTTTTTATATTAAAATTCTAGCAAATCAACAAACCATGTTTGCTCCATATGTTATCTGACTAGAGATGACTAATTCTGTACCACAGTGAAGTTATAGATAAAATCTAAGACTTTTCTTCCTAAATTTATAACAAACTTTGTTTCTTGTATGATCGGCACACTAAAAACAATATTGTTTTGAAACTGAGTATTAAAATTTAATTCTGACAGCAGCATATGACAGAACTATCATGTTCTAATAATCCTAGGGAACTCTAAATTCAACATAACTATAGTTTGAGTATTAGAATTGTATAACTTTTGTTCTATGCGGAAAATAGAAATTTTGGAATATTTTAATCTTAATTTTTTTTGTTCGTAGCTGTTTGCCAACTTATAAGTACATGGAGTTATAAAGTACATGGAGTTATAAATAAATAGGAATCTCTCAAGCCTATCTTTTTTTTTCTTCTGTAATTGCTCCAAATGATGTAACCCCATCATTAGTTAGGAAAGATGTTTGGTAAGTGTGAGGGAACGTACAAAGGGGAGGGTCCAGCTTCCCAGGGGTTAGAGAGCCTCTGGGACCAGCTAGCTCTGTCCCACTTCACCTGCAACCAATGCCATGCTTGGAGGAAAGAAAAAAGGAAGGAGCCTGGCTCAGTTTAGGGCTGACTACATTGTTGAACTGGGCTCCTGCCTCTTTGCCAAAGGACATGAAACAACCTGTCTGCTGGGCACCACAGCAGCAAGAAAGCCCCTACCTCTCTGGGAAAAGGGGTCATCTACTGAGAAGCCCCACCTAAGGAGAATCTAGATTCTTGGGGCTACACCCAAAACTTAAGGACCTGAGAGTAGTTTGGAGTTTCTAGGCCATGAGTGCAGGTTCTGGTGCCCCCCTTTTTTTGCCTGCTTTCTCCACAAACTAGCCACTGAGCTGCTCAGCTACCAGAGCGTGGTCACAGTAAGTTGCTTGTAATCCTCTTTTAAAAACGTAAATTTGAAGGTTACCTCTTCATGAATTTGTTATATTTTGGTTAACTATGTAATGCTTCTCTTATGAAGATGATTTGTAGACTAGAAGGTAAGGATGTTAAAGGTTTATTTATATAAACATGTAACCACTTAGATTTTTAGTGGTTATGCATTTTCACACAGGGGAGTAGGCGGGAGCCACTGCTCCTCCCGTCCCTCTTCCCCCATGGGTACAAACTCCCCAATTGTTAGGATTAACTGATGAGTCCAGGTGTATCAGTTAATTGTGTAAATGCGTGCACACTAATGTCCCTATTAGAAGCTAGCTGTAGTTTAGGGTGGTCGTCTTCATTAGGAGTCTTAGTTTGGTTTGGTTTTTAAATACAGTAAAACTCTGATGGTCCGGCATCAGATGGTCTGGCACTCCTGATGGTCCAGCACCATCAGGAACCCGGAAGTGCTCCGGGCAGCCGGACCATTGAAGCTGCTCTGCCCCCAGCTTCCCCAATTCAGCCGCTGCTAAAACTGACCAGCAGCTGAATGGGGGAAACGGGCAGAGCAGCTGGGGGGCCGCCGGG